TTTTGGAAAAAGCTACCAACAGCAAAACGCTGGCCTGCTCGTATCAATAATCACTGGAATATCAAGTATATCAATCGAAAGGAGTGATGCAATATCGGTAGATATCGGTGGACACGTAAAATCTATATGGATCCCAGTGCCCCACTTCATATATACTTCTTCTGACTTCGGAAGCACTGTTCGGAACCACTCTATGAGTCAACATCTCCAGGAGTCCATCATAGCCAGGGCAAGAACCTCCGGGCCCATGTGGTCCTCTTGTCGCAAAGCTGCAAAAATTGCTTCAAGTGTCCGTGGAATCAATCCAGAACCTGTCGTCACCTTGCAGGATCGTACACGGCACAATGAATGAAGCACCCAGCGTCTCGCCAACTCTCAAAGCACGTGGCACCTCTGCCCAATCCCTGTACAGTAACTCCGGGCCTCCATATTGAAGGCGTCATCAAGTGGCCCCTGCACAACCATTGCGGAAATATGCCAAAGGTCCAGCTGCAGTCCGAGGACTTTCTTGCAAGGCTGATCACAGCGGGCACGGCAGAGTATCCCTTTGTTTCCACCTCTTCTATTCCATTTTTGAGGTCAAAATCATTCCACCCTCGCTGGTAGTGCAAAGGGTGTGCATTCCCCTTCCGAAGCCTTCCTGAAAAATCGCCAAGCGACTCTCTCCAAGGGCGTCTGCACCAGCTTCTCTTTCATCGGCGTCCGCGGTGTGCTGCTCGTGCCTTTTTGTCGAAGGGCATCCTCAGCAGTTGCTGGGTCTGAAAACCGGGTATTCATCGCCAATCTATGGCTATTTTAATACGGAAAATCAAGATAAACCAGCAAAATGTTGATGGATGTTGATGGTAGATTATCAATCTCCCGGTTCCAATGGCAATTTGGGGTATGCCCTGTTCTTGGACTCCACTTTTGGTGACAAGTCTAAGCTGCATATGTTATGGGATGAACGAATCCAGGCCCCTTCCCCTTTGCTAGAATAAGACTTCGTTTACCCTTGATATGGATTCAAGTCCCCGAATGACGCAATGCCTCTCGCACTGTCGGTTGAGTCGCAAACTTTGGGATTGAAAAAGTCATACGGCCTATTTCGATGGCATCCAGTTTGATCCTGTTTGCCATCTAGCGGTGAAAATATGCCACTTGGTGCGAAATCGAAGTTTCAACAAAAAAAGGCACAGCTCTATTTTGGTGACAAATTCAAAAAACATCAACTTCAGGATGAAGATGAACATAGATGAACACAGATAAAGAACTGGTTTCACCAAGGCACAGAAGTGATGGAGGTGGCACAAGGTGACAGCTCATCAGGGACATCAGTTGTGAACCTGCAGGATTTCTGGGGTTTGATTCTGGTGATACCTGGGGCATGTGGAGCATTAATGGGGATTTTTCTCGAAACCAGTGAGAATCAAAATTGCTGGGTTTTACGGATGTTTATCTTCAAACAAAAAATAAAATAGTATTCATATGTTAGTATTGATCCACGGCCATATGAGGATATATGAGGTAACACCTCTCTGGATTCTTGGATTACCAAAAATCGCTGCCAGTTAGGCTGCTATGGAGATCGAATTTTTTTGAGGACACAAGGGCTGAACATCTTGGTTCTCTGACTCAGAGCCCATCATCGTGTAGGTCTTGCCAGAGCCTGCAGTGTTTCCCACGTTCTGCATTATGGTGCATGAAATTCGAATGCCTCAGAACCTATCAAATTTATCCAATTTTTGTGCGTTTTTCCACTTCATATTGTCCCTAGGGATCTCAAGAGATCCCTAGGGTATTTACATTAAACCATCCATTTTGGAGAGCTGATGAGATGGTTTGAGCCACCCCCATTTCTGTGTCAAATCCCACGCTGGTCACAGCCCTCCTGTGTGGCCGTAGGCCAGCATGCAGGTGTTGTAGCCTCGGTCTGGTGGAGAAGGCCAAAAAAATCCAACAATACATGCGTTTGTCTGAAAATAGGGAACCCCTTCAAAAAAAATGGGTTGCCCCTCATTTCTGCTTAAAATTACCATAACTTGGGCTATAATTACCCCATTTCCAAAGTTGAACAACCAAAGTGTTGCCTTCCACAGCCACAGGGTTCCACAGCTCTAAAATCCGAGCCCCGAGCCCTCTGCGGCTTTCCGCACAAGCTCGGCTCCTAGGGCCTGTCATGCCGTGCATGAAACTAGGCTATCCCGAAATCTACTGATTGATTTCCATTTTCCCTTGGGTGTCCCCGATTTGACAGCAAACCCAAATATCATATTTTTGGCTTTATATATATATAAAAGCGTCTCAAAGTGACACATGACTTCTAGCGCTACTCTCGCCGCACTCTTTTTCCATTCTCTGCCTGTCAGTCTTTGTTCAACTGCTATCCTCAGGTTTGCCTTGGATCGGTCACTCTGTGACATGCGCACAGCCCCAGACCAGTGTCCACTCCTGGTCAGAGCTGCCTGGTCACCCCAGGCTGGAACTTGCTTCTATCACCCATCGCCCGGTAAACGGGAGGGTATATACTCTCCTGGTCACCCCAGGAGGGTATCCCCAAAAAGAGGCTGCGCACTCGCCTGCCTAGCAGGCACCCTGTCCTCGACGGGCTTCTCCACGGGAGGCCGGCTCTTAGGGTTGGATGGAAGGGGAAAAAAAACAATGAATGCTATTTTGGGTCAACTCCCACTTGAGCCAAAATGTGGCATTCATTAGCTCACTTAAAGATGACACATGCACACCCAAAGCCTGCCAAGCTCAATGCATAAATATATATATATATATATATCCCGTGATATTCCAGTATATCCCCATCATATCCTTGATATATCCCCATTGCGGCTGATAAACATCCCCTTTTTTCGTTGGTTCAATTATGTTAATTACCCTCTGGTATTCTAACATAGCTATGGAAAATGACCCATTTACTTCGATGGTTTCCACAGAAAGAAAAAATGTGGTGTTTCATGGCTATGCAACAAATTACCAGTGGGATCCAGAGGGTAAATCCTGATGTTTGATCATACGGTGGATGGCTGCGAAATCCTGCACCAGTTGGTATATGGTTTATCCCCACCAAAAAAAAAAAAACATTATTTACAATGTTTCATAGTTACCGTTTACGGTTGCCAACTGGTGCAGGATTTCGCAACCATCCACAGTATGAAGCCATCGCCTGGAAGACAGCTTCCTGCGAGCCATCCATGTGACAGCTATCCCTGGCCGCAACAGCGCTGCTGGGAAGCCCCATGTAATGTCCATAATTCAGATATGAACATGATGATATGGGTGGTTTTATGATGATTAAAATCATTTGATGACAAAAAAAACGAGATGTTTGATGATTTTGGATGATTTTCCTAACATTTTTCGACAAAACTCACGTGTACCATCCAGCGTCGTTCGCGATGGCCAAACGTGACGGGTCAACTCAATGCTACTGCCTCAGAGTGATTTTTTTGATTCGAAACAAGACTTTTCTCAGGGTCATTGAAAGGAAAAGAGCAAACCCAGTGAGTATGATCATTTTCAACAAACAAACATATAATAGTAATAGTTATAATGATACTGTAGTAATAATATGTAGCAATAATGACCATGTCCAATTGCTGAGGTTCGTGCGGACAAATTGACTGCCAGTACTCCTCCAAATGCAGAGGCAGATTCAAATCGCATCGATGCTGAAAGAAGTCATGCAATTCCAGGCTGCGCATGACTTTTTAATTCGTGCCATAGTCAAGTTACATGGATAAATATGAGGGTCCTGGTTATCCCACCATCATGAAATGGATGCCTTACAATGGCTATGTGCCCCTTTGGAATTGCTATGTACCCCTTTGGGAAAAATCACCCCCTGGTTATCCCGCTCCTTTCGCTCCTTTCTGGGAGCCGACTGTCAAGCACGTGATCCACCAAGAAACATCTCTCCTTGAGACCAGCAGCTTGGGGCCCTCTTTAAGCAGCACTTGGATGTGCATCCCACGTACGTGTCGCTGGGTGTGTGTGTGTGTGGTGTAGTCATGTGATGTAATTTATGTATGTATATCATGACATATTGTGTATTGTGCTATACGAGTATTGTGATATGCTATGGTATACTATGTAATATTATGTTGTGTTGTGTTATATTAGGATATAATATGATATGTTATGATACATTAGGTTATGTTATGTTATCTTATGATACAATATGACATCTTATGTTATATTGGGTTGTATTGTGCTATATGTTGTTGTATTATGTTATAGTTTGTATTTCATATCATGTTATGTCTTATTATGATGTGTATATATATATTCATCAATGAGCTTTGGGCTCATATTCAAAGGGATCATATTCAGAAATGAACTAGGGTAAAACAATGGAATTGTGAAGCAAGACTGCAGAAAATGAAAGGAAATCTGCCTCGGCGCCCCAAAAATATTTCATTGTATTTTTTTATTTTTTTATTCTTTTCATTTATTTTCTTTGTTTATTTGTTTTTATGTGTTTCTTCTTTTCTGTTTTCTATGTTTTCCTATGTTTTTCATTTTTTCAAGTTTTTCTCAGTTCTGGAAGGTAATTGAATAAATAATTGAAGGAATATCCAGCTGGCTATCCACAAGATGTTTTTTCCATTATTTTGATTTTTCTAACTATTTTTGTTGTGTTTAATTATTTTTGTATATTTTTAGATAGCTTCCATTATGTTTCCTCGATTGTAAGTATTTTTGCTTATTTGTTACTTTGGGGGTTAAAAGTGGTCACCTGCAGCACCCCATAGGCTGCAGCACGGATTTTTCTTGAGCCATCAGAAGTAGCGGAGCGTTTAGCCATGTACATGTCATCCTGAGTGCAGGGGCCATGCTTGTAAAAACGAAGCTCACCCTTCTACACCTTGGACCTTGGCATACCAGCAACTGTACATCCTAGAGGTTAGAGTGTTCCATGAATCACACTCCCCCTACCTCATTTTGAGGTACAGCTACCTAAAACAAACAACTTTTGGCGCAGCAGCACTAGGAAAAGGCTGCAAAAGCGCTCACCAGGTCTCCCCAGAGACCTCACTCCAGCTGCCGTCATCGCTCAGTTCCTCTTCGGCAGGAGGTAGGCCATCTCGACGCTGAAGGTCAGCCAAAACCGGTTGAGCTCGTCGACCAGCTGAAGTCTGTGCTTTTGGCCTCACCGCAGGTGCTCTTGGTGTTGGGAGCGGAGCGTAGGACTTCGCCGTAGCCGCCCGGCTCACATCAACACGGTTCTCTTCCCCACCAAGTAGGTCAGGAAGAAGCCCAAGATGCCCTTCGGCTCCATCAGGCAACCTCAAAACTGCAGGCTGAAGCTCACCACGATCATGCGGTCCTCCAGCTCCGTCACGTTCAGGTAGGTGAAAACGATGCCCTTCTCCACGAGCATCATCACCAGAGCTCCGAGACACAGTGCGATCATGCACGGTCCCAGTTTCATTCTTGAGGCGGAAGAAGGTCCACCCAGTCCACCTTGAAGTAGCGGGGTTCGCTGGCTCCACATCCCAGCGGTCCGTCTTGACAAAGCGGCGGTTGGTGTCCTCCTCGAAGCCCACAGTCACACGTAGAGGAAGAAGATCTCCACCTGCAACCGGAGAGGCACGGTGGATGGGCTGGAAAGTGCGTTTCCTTGGATCCCTGTGGACTCTAACAAGCCATCCACGTTGGATCCAGGAACTTTCCCATCTGTCCTTCTTCCCAGTCGGCGGAGGCGTCGAGAACTCAGGTAGTTCCCACGGTGCCGTGGCCGCATCCACAGTGACTCGCATAGCCTTCATGCTGTAGGACCCACCATCAGGCGGAGGACGCTTGGTTCCCGAGCCATCATCCAGGTCCTTTCTCGCATGGATGTCATAGTCCTCATTTTCTTCCTCATCAGGTGGATGGTCTTCAGCTGGAGGCTCGCCTTCCGGTTCTCCAGCTCCATGCAAACCCTGAGAAGTCCAGTTTCCCCAGGCATCATCATCGTCATCCTCTGCGGCGCCCGGAGTCTTCCCTTGGCCTTTTCCTTTTCCCAAAGACTGCCGGCGATCTCCACTAGGAACTGGTCGGTCGGTTGAAGATCCAAGGCCATCGCCACTGGCAGTTGAAGAGCCCACGCTGCCTCGCCTCGGTGGTAGCAGAGGTTCGGGAACGGGTTTTCCTTTTCCTTTGGGACCAGTTGGGTCGCTGTTCGCTTCTTCATTCTCTTCACCAGAGCTGATGACCTCTGGCCCGTTCTTTCCTTTCCCTTTTCCTTCTGGCTCAGCAAGGGGATGGATCTCGATCAGACCGTCACCTCTGCGAATTTCCAGGTCACCATCCGCATTCACGAAGGATACCACGATCTTTTCGCCTCCCCAAAAGAAGCCTGACTCAATGTCGCGGCGACCATGACCACGGACAGTGTAAGTGGTTCCATCTGGGTTCTCAGGCCCCTGAGAAGAGGCTGGCTGACTGCCCGTCGCAGTCGGAACCTCTTCGCCAGTAGGTTCGTTGTCTTGAGGAGGTAGAGGAGCTGGTAGTGGAGCAGCACTCGTCGCTGTCTTCGGAGTAGCCTGCATCAACGTCACAGGCCCTGGCTCCCCTGCGACTGTTTCCTCGGACTCCTCAAGCTTTCTGTTTTCCCAGCTCGGCCACTCATCTTCCTTCTCTTCTTCATCACAGGCCTCTGCACTTGGACCCTTCCCTTCACCTTGATCAGCCTTCGCGGCCTTGCCTTTCTTCTTTCTCTTCCTTTTCTTCTTCTCCCCGGTGTAGATGTCGTCGTACATGGAGCTCTTCGGCCACGGCTTACGATCATCTCCACCATCACCAGGACCATCTCCACCCTCGCCACCAGCATCAGCAACGCTGGTCGCCATGGCTTCAGCACGGAGCGCCCGGACGCTGGGGCAGCCCGAAGGGCAGTAGTTCCTGAACCCGGCAACAGTCACACCGGAGTTGAAAACCTGTGCACCTTCGCCACTGAAGTCGTTTTCACAAGTGCCGTCAACCACGTTATCCCCAAAAATCGATTTCCCAAAATCAAATTCCCCAAAAGAGGTGGGACTTTGTGGTTTCAGGGTTTTCTTTATGCTGGGTTCATTTTCCCTCAGCAATTGGTGGTTTGGACCGGGTTCATTTTCCCTCGGCCATCTTGTTTCAGTAAGTTGGGTTCCTATGCCGGGTTCATTTTCCCTCGGCGTTCTTGACTTTCTTTTGAGACAACAAAGGTGAGACTTCCATCTTTGTACAACATGGCACACACCAGCTGCTACTGCACAGATCCCTAACCTCCTAATCCGGTGGTGCTCCTCAGTGGTCGGTTTCCACCTTTCAAGCTCTACAGCTACAGTCAGCCCCTTCAGAGCCCATTCTCTACAGATTCCAATCTTCTTCAAGGTCTCCAGGTCCTCCGGCTCAGCCATGTCGTAGAGCCCTGCAAACCTCCGGAATCTTGACCAAGTAGCCCCAACGGTGATTGGCTTCGTCAGGAAATCTGCCGCAAGTTCCACACCCGCCATGTGTTTCACCTTCCACACCTCCTGTTGTACCGCTTCGTGCAACGCCCTAGAGCGCAGCCTGAGATGTCTCGATCTCCACGGTCCATTTGGGTTAAGTACGACCTGGATTCCCGATTGGGAATCACCGTACAACACTCTGGTTCCCTTTTCTGTTAACCTTCCTTCCTCAAAAAGGTCAACCAAGACCGCCACCGAGTCTCCAAGGCTCACAGCGTCCACGTACGAAGTGACTTCAGACTCAGAGCTGCTCAGCGTAGCAAAGCTCTGTCGCTTACTTTCCCACTGGATCAAACCACCTGCCCAGACAGCAAGGAGACCCTGGTGGGACCTCTCCCCGCCTGGACCGAATGACGCATCCGAGTGGACTTCCAACGTATTGGCATCCCTGCAGAATGCCAAATTCCCATCCGGCCCACGGTCGGCCTCTTGACACTTTTGGTATAGCAGACCATGACCCACTGTGGCCTTTAAGTAGCCAAGCGTCTGCCTACCCAGTTGGCAAACCTTCTTCGGACATTTGGATGCTCGGGAACCCATCCAACTCACTGCATATGCAACGTCCGGCCTCGTCTTTGTGCTTACCCACAAAAGTTCGCCGACCAGAGTTTGTGCCCTTTTGACATCTGCAGGCTCCGGTGGTGATTCCTCGACATCCTCAGTCCTTGCAATTGGTACCAGCGCTTCTGGTACATCTGGGTATCGATCCAACAGATCCTTGGTGTAGGATTCTTGGGAAAGGAGGATGCCGCCCCTCGGGTGCAGCTTCAACTCCATTCCACAGAATCTCAGCATTCCCTTTTCTGAGAGATACTCCGCTTCGGAGCAGTTCCACTCCTGGTTTATTCGGTTCAGACATCCCTTGATTACTTCAGTTGGTCCACAGACCAGAACATCATCGACATAGAAGGTGCAAAAACCTTCCACGCATTCCTCGTCCCCATCTCTAGTTGATCCATCCCTCGACAGAATCTGCCAGACATTCATTTCCGTGGTCTGTCTCATCCAGTACAACCGGTTGTTGTGGCTCCACTGGAACCTTTTGACACTCCTGTCCCGGAAGTCACTCCAGTCAGCTGGACTGGTTTCTAGCCCGTACATTGCCCTTTGGATCACCCATCGCTCGTCGGGTGGGCAAATCCCAGCTTGGACCAACAGCTTGGGTGGGATGGTCATCATCAGACACTCCCGCTCCCGTCTTCGGGGAGCTAAAAGAAATGCCCCTTTGATATCCACCACTCCCATATCCCAACCTTCCATCAGGGCCGTCTTTCGAACCATGCATCGGATGGCAGTCGCGTCGGCGCCTCCCGCATACAGGTCCGCAGCTGGCACTGATGCGGCCTTGGGCCGGTTGCCGTCTTCATGTGCCTTTGTCACCAAATTCCCACATATTACGATCCTTGCCTTGTGTTTCCCGTTCGGTGATTTGACCGTTGTAACCAATTTACTCGGCGCTAGCTCCATGTCTTGATAGCCCTCCATGGCCTCCAACTCACTAAGCTTAACCGGTTTCATCGCCTGGCTTTCATACACAAGCTAGTTGTACTCGGCCTTAATTGGTTCAATCCAGGATTCCATATCCCGCTTTACCATCGTCAAAGGGATTGTGTAGGTTTGCAAGACCGTCGGGGGCCTGCTCACACCTTGGTTCTCATCCCCTGGTTGGCCATCCGTCGACAAAGCTGCGATTCGGGCATGTCTCTCACACTCTTCAGCTTCCAATGCCTCCACCTTGGCACCTTCTTCTTCGATCTGGGAATAATGCTTTAATTCACTTTCCAGCCATCTCACTTGGGTACTCACGTGTTGCACGACTTGTCCTTGTGCCGCACCTTCTTCTTCTGTTCCAGCGACTGCATTCACCTGTTCCTGCAGAAGTTTTCTCAGATTCCAGTGCTGGTAGCGGAGCTCATTCACATAATCCTCTACTTCCGTCTTTTCGATCTCCCCCCAACCTTCAAGTTGAGTTCCATCCACAAGAGACTCCCCCCCAGCTCGTAAGGCCATGAGAGCTGGCAATCCCAATTCTGCCTCAGGTGGAACCAACTCAGAGTCAGACAAGATAGAGGGCTCATACCCATCTTCTTCTTCAGCGTCGGCCACAGCCAACAATGACTCAAGTTCACGGTCCTCCCTAGGAGGTGGTAAAGGGATCTTGGAAACCTCCACAACCAGTGGCTGCTTCCCGTTGAGACGTCTTTTGGGAGGATCCTTGGGATCATCGACCGTTTCCAGCTCCAAACGAGCTGTTTCTCCAAGAGGATCAGGAATGAACACGGACCGTGCGTGCTGCACAAGGTTGGCTTCTTCATCAAGAGCAACCCAACCGTTGGTCATCTGGGGTGAAGGGCCCATAATTCGAAGCGTCTTGTAAGGGGATGACAACGCCCCTTCTTTACGACGATGCCACAGTTTGGCCTTAACCTGAGCCAACACAGCAAAGCGTGGCATCTCCTTACACTTGGCCCCCAACTTTCTCATTTGGGCACGCAATCGTTCCTCGACTCCGTGTCGGGCCGCGCATGGCCAGTAGTCATGACTCACTCCCGTTTCTGCCAACAAAAGGCGAAGTCGACGCTTGAATTGGTTGATTTCCCCTTCAATTCGTCCATTGGCTTCAGGCTCGTCGCCTGCATTGAAAGTTTGATGGACCTGGCGCATTTCGCACCACTTGGCCACGTGATTGGTTGTGAAAGATCGCTCCCGATCAGAGTGCACACGGTAAATGGGTATGCCAAGGCTCTTCGCCCGGGCATGCACTTTGGACAGTGCCTTTGTAATTTCATTCTGGTGACGAGACGCAAGCGGCTCCATGAAGGTGATGTTCACCACTGGAACATCCTTGGATATCTCCTTGACTTCCTTTTTGACGAACTCTTCCCAAGCCTGGTTTCTCTTCCGGGCTTCTTCCTCTGGGATCAGATCCCTCGGCTCTGGATCCAAGAGAAGCTCCCCAGAGGCTTCCACTTCCTCAGCTTCGGGAACAACTTCTTCCTTTTGAGGTTCCACCGCCTCCGTGGAATCCTCCTTCTCCCCCGGACTTGGCCACTGAGGCACAGGGATAGTCGCCAGCAAGGCATACTTTACCTTTCTGCGTTTGGAGACACCAAGGTCGGTGCCCTTTTTGAACGGACCACAGATGTCTACAGACATCACAAAGGCGGATTCTTGACCCCTCTTTCGGCGATGTGGCTCAGCCGAGCCCATGGTTTCCAAGCAGACCTTACAGTCCCGCCGGTATGGCACGTGTTGTGCCTGCAGATGCTTCTTCCATCCCGCTAAGTCCAACTTGCTCAGCATCGGTTGCTGAGCCTGGCTCGCCAGAAATTTGGGTATCACAATCTTGAGAGCAGCCATCAGACCTGGAGCCCATGCAGACCAAGAAGCCGTCTGCTTCAGCCGCTCCCGGAGATCCATGCACACACTCTCTCCAGATTCCTTCGAGGTAATCCCATCAAGTTCCTTCAGCTGGACTATGTTGGTCAGAAGCGTTGTGGGTTTGGGGCGTTGGTGCCCTAAAGCCCCTTGGTCCACCCTGACCTTGAACATGTCTGGGTTTCGTTTCAAGAAATCTTCTGTTTCCTCCCATTCCCAGAAGGACGGATACTCTTTCCCATCTTCCACATACTCGCATGGATCTTGGGGACTTTCCACCAGAAGACCACACTGACCCAGAATGCCATTCGCAACCATTCCCTCTTGAGATTTCTCATAGAGACCAAGAGTTTTCAACCACAAGGCGGTATCTCCATCCACCTTTGTCATTTCTCTTTCAGTTAGATCATCCAAAGCGAATCTGTGATTCCTTCTGCCACGTAAAGGGCGAGGACCTGGGACCTTATGCCGAAGACGACTCACTGTCCTGCATGGCGGTCCGGCGGTTATCATCCGGATCCGGCCCCGTTCAGCCAATCCCCACAGGTACGCCCACACCCCAGCGGCGTGTAGATCTTCTTGAGCGTTCGATGAGATGTCAACGGTCAGCACTTCGGTGTCTGATCCCGTGAGATCCCGCCATCTCCTGGATTCTCCCCCGGACCCAGAGAAAAGATGGATCACCACACCCCCTCGAGCTCTTTCCAACCTCCTCCGCTTTGCCCTATTCCAAGGCAAAGGGGAGGCAATTTCTTCCCAGTTCAGCCCTTGGCCCCTCATCAAAGACCAGATTCTCTCAGGGACCTGTGGATACTTCTCCTTCCACCATTCGATCTCCTGAGCCGGTGGCTCACAGTAGTCTCCCACTCCACCATTCTCAAGTGACTCCAAGAGACTCAAGGCTTCACTTCTGTCCATCACTGGACACCCTTGGCGTCTGACACACTGCAGGTTCCCATGTTTCGGGTGTGAGATGTCACAGCGATCCTTCTGCCAGTCGATCTTGAATCCGTGATCTACTAGCAGACGCAATGGAATTATGGGTTCCACGTTATCCAGTGCCAACAGCGTATTGTGCGCTGCGCACCGATAGAGCGTGACACTTCCCATCGCCATTTCAACTTGGACTGGCCAAAGATGCGGAACTTCGGAGCTCTTCGCCTGTCGCAAGGCGTGAGTCGCCCCCCCATCTAGCAAGGCGTACTCTCCTCCGCACTCCTCGTCAATTTTCACCGTCTTGATGAAGACCGATTTGATCGACGTCATGGACTTAACCAGACCGTTGAGGTTCTGCACCAAGTCACCTTCCTGCTTGGGCTGGGAACCCTCAGATCTTTTTTCCGGTTGCGGATTTTCCTCCGCTGCCTCCTTCACTACTGTTGACTCTTTTTGGCTCTCCTTCTCAGTGCTCCTCTCCCCTTTCTTATTGAGGACCTTAGCAACCCTCCGGTCACCTTTCTGTGTCCAGCCATTTCCATCTTTAGGCTTGGCTGTGGGACAATCCCTTTTACGGTGGCCTGTTGATGAGCAAAGCAAGCACCTTGAGGATTTCTCCAACGTTCCCCAGGCGTGTGCGAAACCGCACTTCTCACCCCTGCGACACCCTTCGTCAGTGCCCCAGAAACGACACGGCGCTTTCTCACCTTCTGGCCTCTCCCATGGCTTCTGCCCTTCCCCCGTGAAGGCCTTGACAGCCGGATTCCCCTGCGTCAGCACCGGAGCCAACGCTGGCGGATTCGACGGCGTCGCCTTCCCAGCAGTCTGCGCATTAGCCAACTCTTCCAGCTCAGCTTGGATGTACTCGGCCCATTCCTTGACCGAACCAAGGCTTGGAGCTCTATCTACGTCCAGCTGTTGGCGCATGGTCGCCAAGCGGAACGCCACCTGACTTCCACCCAATCTTGAAGCTCCGTCAGCGAACTTCGACAACACACCTGTCAGAACCAGAGGATCCACTGTTACACTCAGCTCCTCCGACCTTCCCACTGATCGGCGCCATTGCCGAACGGACCCCAGCAGTTCCACCAAACCTGCTGGCACCTTGGCCTCGCTGATGGACTTGATCAATCCTGTCCTTTCACCCGAACCACCAGGTTGAAAGGTGGTAAACAATCGGAACAGAATCCCGACCGTCGAGAGACGCCGCGATGCTATGACGTCCTGTCGCAAACCTTCTGGCAAAGCAGCTAGCAACATGGATACTGACCGCTGTTCCAGTCTTGCGTAGCCTTCACCGATCACTGGTGATCCTGGTTTCATGCGCAGCTTCTCCAGCGGCGTGGCAACCAGCCACTGCTGATAGTGGTGTTCCACAGTTTTCACTGTCAGACTCCACCATTCTCCAGCACTTCCAGAAAGATCACTCATCAGTGGATGCACCACAGTCATCCAATCCCCGAACTGGATGGACGCACCTTCACTTCCCGGTGTGGGAAGCTTTGGTAGCTCCAGGGCCCTCAAAGCCTCAGTCAGAGATGGTCCCGGCTGAGCTAGCCCAGCTTGATTCCTTCCTTGGAATCCCGGATCAAACCCTGGAGGTGGAGACGGCATTCCACCGACTCCTCCCAACGGCTGGGAAGTTCCCAAGGCCTGGCCAACCACGGCCTGTCCCTGTCCAGCTCCACTGGATGCTGACTGGTACGATTGGGTTTCCTCGGTCTGACCTTGAAGCCTTCTCACCTCCTTGGCGAAAGCTTCCTCTGCCTCCCGCATCACCCGCTTTCTGATCTCCTCAACTGCCATCGCAGCTGGGTCCATCATCATCTGAGTCCCTCCCGATGGATCTGTTCCAACAGGAGCTGGGTTCCCCCCTCCTGCCAATGCCTGCATGGGAACCGGGCTCACCATTTGCATGGGAACCGGGCTCACCATGGGTACTGACTGCAGCTCGAGGTTCTCGGACTGGAGTCACCATCACTCCTAATCCCTGAGCTGGTTGGCTACCTGAAGGATGAAACACTGGTGGGTGTGGACTCGCGGCTGATCCCATCTGTTGCTGCTGCGGCAGCTGAAAAGCTACCAACGGCGGCAAAGGCTCAGCCAAAGGTCCCAACATAGCACCGCCCACATGCCCTCCACTCGGACAGCCACCACCTTGGTCATTGATTCCCTGACCACTGCGTTGATGTAGTTCAGCATGAAGACCTTGTAGAGGAAGGACACCAGGAGGACCACCTTGAGGTACACAAGAACGGACTTGAGCTCCAGGAAAAAGTGTCCCCAAAGCTTGCAGTTGGTTACCCACCGCACCAGCCACATCTTGCGCCACACCCCGAAGAAGCGGTCCTACCACCATTGTCGATCTCCCACCACCAGGCAATCCCTGCTGAGCTGCCACCGGAGGAGCTTCAGGCCCTAAAGCTTGTGGCAAACCAGCAGGCCTCGCCACCTCACCTTCTCGACCTTGAGCTCGTCCATCTCCCTCTGTTCCAGCCTGAAGTTCCAACCTCCGCACACCACCTTCCATCCTCCTAGGAGCAGACAGAGCTCTTCTTCTCTCTCCCTCCTCTTGAGTCTGGGCGATCATGCGGTCCAAGGCTTCATCGGCTGACTCACCACTCATCCCTCCACGTCGACGCTGCAGCAATGACATGGCTACGCAGCAGAGCGCCTCTTTGGGCTCATAACCTTTGGGGGTTAAAAGTGGTCACCTGCAGCACCCCATAGGCTGCAGCACGGATTTTTCTTGAGCCATCAGAAGTAGCGGAGCGTTTAGCCATGTACATGTCATCCTGAGTGCAGGGGCCATGCTTGTAAAAACGAAGCTCACCCTTCTACACCTTGGACCTTGGCATACCAGCAACTGTACATCCTAGAGGTTAGAGTGTTCCATGAATCACAGTTACAATTTGTTATTATTTTTTAATCTTAATTCATTATTTATTATCATTATTTACTATGTTTATTTTCCAAGTTTGATTATGATCCCTCCTGATTAGACTCCCTGTTCTCATAGAAGGTATATGTGTGTATATGTGAAGTTTCATACGTAGTTATATTCATATAAATACAGTTATTTACATGTCACGCGTATATACTTACATATATGTATATGGCTATATATATATATGGATGGTTCTATATATATATATATCTTTATATATATTGTTATAATATGTATATATATAGATATATATGTATATGGTTATATATATATGGTTATATATCTATATGGTTCTATATTTTTATGGTTATATGTTTATATGGTTATATATGTATATTTGTAGGTATAGTCGTACACATATACATATGTGTATATGTATATCTTTCTATATACAGCTTTATATTGATTTCTATACAGCTATAAATATACATATATATATATATATATTATAAATATATACTGTATACATATATAAGGTATATACATAATATATATATATAATATATATATATACATATATGACTTGGGATATCTCCATCTCCGAATTTGCCGCCCCAAAAGCGCCCTGGACGGCGGCATCACCTGTCGGTCGAGGCCCAACAAAGTCACGCCATTGCCATTGGAGCGCACGCCCTGCCGCTGGCCCGCCTGCTTCGTTTTCAGCTGGGATGATGATTTGGAGATGGGGATCTATGGCCAGACTCAGACTATGGATGACAACAAGGTAATTCAAGGGGAAACAGTTGCAAAAATGGGTATGGGTCAATACCTATAGATACCATTTTTAGTGGGATGAACATCCATAAATCCCAGCTATGACTTGGGGTTCACTAGGTACCAGGGTTTTGACCCATCCCCAAATAATCTATTCATGTTCCAAACCACCAACCAGAAAGTGTGCATAATTATACCATTACATACCGCGATCAGACATCATATTTCATCTATTTAAACTATATACGACTGGAAATATACATTAAACACAGCTTGTAACTGGTAGTTACACACCGCCGCCTCCCGTGCCACCAGGGGTCGGATTCGCACGGCCACTCGCACGCCCGTGGATGCTCCAGGGCGGTTCTGGCGCATAGATTTCGCCCACCAAACTTACTGGTGCTAAACGCAGGGAATGGATGGGTTGCTGGGGGTTGCTGGGGGTTGCTGGGATGAGTATTACTAGTTATTATGGATCATTCCCTCATGCCCTGGTTTCAAAAACTGATTCAACTGCGGAGGTCAAGCTGACGCTGTTCGATTCAAAAACGACCCAACCATCGATGGGATCACTTTCTAAAGCCAGTTAAAATGGTGGTCAAAATCTGCAAAATGGCACATTTACCAAAGCGGAAAAAAAACTGATCGCGCCTCACAGCTTGAACAGGTTGAAGAGATGGCACCTGGCCAAACATCATCTGGTTGCGGAAATCACCAACAAGATGCCCCATGTCATCCCATGTCAACCATGGATCTCTGGATGAACATTATCAACCATGGAATTCTGGGAGAAGCCTGTTTTTGGACCCTGGTCTGAAGTTATTCTGAGGGCTCCTGAATTGCCTGATTCTTGGTGCGGCAACTTGAACATGTAGCTAAACCGTGCAAAACTGTGACTCTGCGTCAGGACAAGTCTTGATCAATCCGAAGATATCTGAAAATAGACCCAAAATATCCCAAAATCCCATGGTTGATCATCATGTTTCAACTGTTTCCCCTTGAATTACCTTGTTGTCATCCATAGTCTGAGTCTGGGCATAGATCCCCATCTCCAAAAATGTCCTGTTCTTCCCCGCCTGAGCAAGTCCCAGGCACCTCAGAGGCATGGACTGTTTACGGTCTTCTCGAATCTATCCGGGATGTTGGGAGGGAGCAATTTGGAGCCATGTGTATCCAAATTCCCCATTTTTCATGGGGAGCCAGTTGGACGAGGTCGGAGCTACAGCCTTGACCTGACCAAACAAGTCAGCAAATTCTTGCGTCCGTTGGTCCGTTGCCTTTCAAGAAACTTGCAAGCTCAGTTCATCACTGAAGTTCGTTCCTTGGCACGAAACGCGGTGGTCTGGTGATTTCTGGCACGGTCAACCCCAGCAGCAACCGCTTCCACTGAGGAGACAGCTTTGCTTGACCATCGGGAAGATAGGGTGCCTGCATCTTGCTATATCTTGCTTTAAAAAGAGAGTAGGCATCGTCTGAACTGCAGTTGGTTTTTCCAAAGGCTGCAGATTCCTGGTCGAACTCCCGAGCAGATTCGAAAAGCGCCGAGTTCTCGCCGTGCTGGGGAGACAACTCACTTTTCTCCAGAGATGTTGTTCCGACACGGCCATGGATCACAACCCGCATACCCAGATTTTGATATCAAAATAGGAAGTGGTTATGGATGAGTGACCCATTCCCACATCCCACTCTCGCCTGATCGCATGGTGCCCCTTTGTGCACCGGCAGGCGCTGAAATCTGTGGGGGTTCAGCTAGAAAACAGACATCTGGTGAGTTTAACCACATTGCCGCCACATTGAGTCTGAAGGAAAACTATGGAACAACATTAAAATCGGAGTGAGACCCGTGGCCTTTCCACCGTTCATTTCCATATCGAAATCTTCTGTTGAAATGTCAGCTTCGAGCTCCTTTCAGGCTTGGCAGCCAGATCGTTGGCGCCTGCTGTTTGGCCACTTTCCAGCTACCATTTGAGCTGCAGCTGGAGGACAAGAAATGCAGGGCGTCAGAGTTGTGCGTCTGATGCTGAAAAATCCGATGCAAGAAAAGACGGATGCAATGTTGTAATGCGATAAAGAATTCGTGGGAAGTGCCTTGTCAAGCTCAACCCTGTTGACTGGCCAAATCGTTCTCTTATAGATGCAAGTTGGGTGTCTCAAACTGCGGGATCTTACCCGCAAGTTGTGGTCATTTGAATAATGGAAAATGATGATAAACTGCGGGAATCTGCGGCAGATTAGATTAGATAACCTCCTTGGTGCTCGGTGCAGCCAGCACAGCACATATTTTCAGGCACGCTGGAGGTCCTTTTGCACAGTGCACTCCCACAAATGCCTGCCAAGAGTTTCAAGAGCATTCACATGAGCAGTGTTCAAAACCTAGAATGTGGTCACTTTATACTGGTTGGTTGAGAACTGGGTTGTTATATGGGTCATGCCATTCTAATATAACAAAACGAATCACCACGGGCAAAAAGGAAGGAGGAGTGCATGCACACCTGCTTCCATAATCTTTCATATTGTTTTGAACACGTTGAATATTTATGCGCATGTTTGCAGAACGTTTCAGTGATCTACATTGACGTGAATCAATTAAACTGATTGCCTGCCAATGTCTTCCACAGTACGCAAGTTTGCCCCGACTAAGACCTCCAAAATTCCCAGTCGTGGTAGAATTGTTCTGCGTCCGCCATGAGTACACCTACGGGAAAGGGAAGGAAGCATATTTATCATTCAAATGTCCAGCTTGGATGGTTGAAACCCTATAAATAATGGGATAAACCACCTATCAACTGGTGCAGGATTTCTTCCATCAACAGTAGCTTCACCAGAAACAGTTCAGCTTCCAATTCTAGGCTCGGCCACTGATCTTCGGAGAGCCGCCAGTCTTTGCAGCAGCAATCCTTGCCTGTGCCCGGGCCGCCAGGTGAAATGGAGAGATCCAGCCAGATCCCGCCACGCTGAGTCTCCCACATCGTAGAGTAGCTTCCTGAGCACCAGGGTTTGTTTTTGAAGATCTTCCAGGAGAATTACTGTATGTGTTTTGAAGAAAAAGAGAGATCAAGTTGGGGCAATGTGGTGAACCCAGCAGTGAACCTACCATTTGGGCATATATACCACCCATGTCTGGTAAGATTGAGGGTGGTTTATTGTTTATCTCTCCACTGGCTCTCCACACTCCAAACCACTTCTCAGGTGTAAGATTTCAATGTTGCTGGATCCATGGGAATGGAAGCTGCTTGTGTTAGCATGAGTACCGGCGTTGCTATTGTGTATCCATCTGTGTATCACCTGCATTTGCTGGCCCAAATACGCCCAAACTGTTGAAAACATCTACACTGTAGGTCTGTACAAGGTGGTGCCCCATAGTTAGCTAAGTTGGTTTATAACTCCCATAACTATGGTTTATGGCAGATATAACTATAGTTAATGGGGTTTATAAACCAACTTATAACTGGGGGGCACCATCCTGTAGGGCTGTGTTATTTAATAAAGCACATCGATAGTTTCACCTGGTCACTAAGGCCAGCTCTCTTTCAGGAAGTTCCTTCGCTGTTGCGCAACCTAAGCCGTGGTGGTTTCACACATGTTTCGGGGCTCAGCTTGTGCAGGGCTTTGCAGGGGAACCTATTTTTGTTTCGATGAAATTTGAAAAAATGACAAGGGAAAAAAACGGGAAATCACCCAAAATCATTTTAAGTGCCAGGGGCAACATGCCCGCCGAGTCTGTAGGATTTCCTCACTGTATGGAAGATTACCTGCAGGATTTGATATGCCCGGATCATCTTGCGAAGGATGACACAGTGATGCACACTGCCGGCCCAGAGTTCTGAGACAGCTGCAAAGGGCGAAACGTAGAATTTGTGGAGGAACCTGACATCAAGTCATCCAAGTCAATTCAAACAATATTGAATGATATAACATATTGTCAATCAGCCAGATTCCGAAGTCATAAGGATGTATATATATATCATTATAAATTATAACCCCATTCGTGCATTATATTCCAATTTTCATTCACCTGGCTTGCTATGGGCATTCTAACTCCCAGCTCCGCCTCTCTGATGTGGTCAGAGTCAACTGAGAGCTATCGGCCACCACCAGCACCTGAGAGCAATGACTCTGACTACCTCCGTGGGGTTCCTGGCGGGTCTGCCTCAACATTTAAGCAGCCGAAAACAGATATGTATGATTTAAGATGTTGCTGTAACACGTTTTCTTTAGGTTAAAATTGGTTGTTGTTTTATGGTGAATTTGTTGCTATTTAACGGTTACTTTTTTGTTATTTAATAGTTTTTTGTTATTCAACAGTTAGTTTTGTTATTTAACAATTATGTGTTCTTATTTAACAAAGATGTTTTGTTATTTAAGAGTTATTTTTTGTTATCTTATTGTTATGTTTTTGTTACTTTATGGTTTTTATTTTATTATTTTATGGTAGTTATTTGTGTGTGTTGAATGCGTTTTTGTGTGGTTTTGAATCCTATAAAATAGATCTAAATGTTTGTGGTTGTGTTTGTTCGTGTTCGTGTTCTCGTTTTTGTTGTGGTTGTTAGTTGGTGGTTGTTGGTTGTTCGTTGTTGGTTCTTGGTCGTTGGTTGTTCGTTGTCGGTTGTTGGTTGTTGGTGCGGTTGTGTTGGTGTTGGTTGTTGGTTGTTGGTTGTTGGTGTTGGTTGTTGGTCTTGTTGTTGTTGTTGTTGTTGCTGTTGCTGTTGCTGTTGCTGTCGTTGTCCTTGTCCTTGTCCTTGTCCTTGTCCTTGTCGTTGTCGCTGTCGCTGTCGCTGTCGCTGTCGCTGTCGTTGTCCTTGTCGTTGCCGTTGTCGTTGTCGTTGTCGTTGTCGTTGTCGTTGTCGTTGCCGTTGTCGTTGTCGTTGTCGTTGTGGTTGTGGTTGTGGTTGTGGTTGTGGTTGTGGTTGTGGTTGTTGTTGTTGTTGTTGTTGTGGTGGTGGTGGTGGTGGTGTTGGTGTTGTTGTTAAGTTGTTGTTGGTGTTGTTGTTGGTGTTGTTGTTGGTGTTGTTGTTGGTGTTGTTGTTGGTGTTGGTGTTGGTGTTGGTGTTGGTGTTGTTGTCGCTGTTGTTTTCTTTGTGTTGGTGTTGGTGTTGGTGTTGGTGTTGGTGTTGTTGATGATGATGATGATGTTGATGTTGTTGCTGCTGCTGCTGCCGCTGTTGTTGTTGTTCTTTCCATTGGTAGTTGTTGTCGCGGTGAATTTTTGGATGAATGTGAGCGGTTTGAATGTTAAATGTTTGTGGTTGTGCAGTGGCATTGCTCTTGTTGTTGCTATCGTTGTCGTTGTTGTTGTGGTTTTGGTTGTGGTTCTGGTTGTTGTTGTTACTGTTGTTGGTTCTATAGGTACGTGTTTTCACGCCGTGGGGAAATATATCTATGTATTGTTTATATTACATTATGTTTTTTTTTAAAATTGTTATTGGCTCATGTTTTCATTATATGATTATTTTTTCCCGAGCGATATGCGGCCCGCTGTTGAGCTGGCTCTTATTTCACTTTGGGGGTAAGGTGTTTCCACTGTTCTCTATCTTCAGCCACAGGAAGAAGAGCATGCAATTGTTGAGTAGTGTTGTACCAGTTGATCATATTAGTAGAAGAAAAGGATTTTAATTCCACTATGGTAAAGTGGCTATAGATTGGGTGGAGAAATGCACCAGGGTTAGGAGGTGAAGTTTCGTATAGTCGGAGCTTATTGTGGGCTTCAGCCAAGGAGAGTTCAGGCCAATGAGCCCTGGGGGCGCCTCTCCTAAAAGGGGAACTAATGGTGCGTGGGGTCCTAGTGGGGTGAAAGCAAATAAATGACTCGGGACTATCGGGATGTCTAAGTATGTGACCAAGATACTGAATTCTACGGTCAGAAATTTTAATGGAAGGAGGATAAAGGGTGGGAAGGACAGGGTAGGCAAGTGATAGAAGAAATTGATTTGAGGAAAGGAGCATCAGAGGGATTGCTGTGATAGTAGGGGCTTTTAATCTGGAAGATTTGTCGAAGGGGCTTACAATGGAGGGAATCAAAACGAGTGATTAGAGCTGGTGATTGGGACCCTGAGCCATGGAGGAGAATAGACTGGACAATTTGGGAGTAGACTTGAAGTTTTCGACGAGGAAAGATAAGAGTGTGACGGAAGAAAGGATCAAGACATTTGAAAGCATGCGAAGCCTGAGGGCAACGGAAGGAGACATCAGAGTTAGAGGAAGAACTGGGGGTAATGAAAGATCCCAGATATTCTGCAAACTTTCTTACCCATTTTCTCCAATGCTTTTTTTGTTCCCTCAAGAACATCTGGTCCGTCCTTACTCTTGATAGGAATTACCACAGCAAATTTACTCAAAACATCAATGCATACCAAACCTGCTCTGATTTTTTGGTCAGCATAAGGATCATGATACCCCATAAAGAACAAATCAATCTGATAAGTATGACTGTTTTGCGGTGCTACAAAACTATTTACTCCTCTGGGTTTTCTTTGACTTCTACATTCTTACTTAAGACTTGTTCGACATCTTTCATGGTAATACTTTTGTTTTTTGTCTTGCATCTTTAAGGGTGATGGCTTTGCTTTGAAACCCTGCCCTGTCAAATGATATATCATCTTTTTTGTTTGCTTTTCACTCATTATAATAAGTAGGATAAGTACAATATATATATATATATATTCTTGGGAAAATCATATTAATATCATATTGCAGACCTATGACAGCTTTCTATGTAATGGGATATATCAATGTTTAGCCTATTTGCGTCAAAATTACTGTGGATTACTCCATTGTAAACATTGAACTCAAAATTACAACCGCAGCTATTGCATCTTGAATTAACTCTATCCATCAGCCACTCGGCAGTAATATATTTTGCTTCATCACTGGTTCTTCCGGCTTTCAAGTCTTGCAGTTTGTATTGGTTGACTTTTCTCTGTAGGTATCTTCTTATCACTTCTTCATTCAGTACGTCAACTCCACCGAGAGACCTGTAAAATCTGACTTTGTTAATGTCTGTTGCCCTTGTAATCGCGGTGTAAAACCACTCATGAGTAATCAGCTTTGTTTTGTCCCATTCAAAAATTGCAATGGATTTATCAACTGAAGCTCCTTGGGAGCTATGGCAAGTGGCAGAGTATGCGTACATGAAATGCGTATCAAGAGTTTCAACTGTGGTTAGTACTGTTTCTTTTGTTTTGTATATAATCTGAGCCAATTCTCATCATTTCATCCCAGGTGGGATAGAAGTTTTGGACGTTCACCTCGCATGCCAGGTGGTCTCTGCTTCGTTGGGTGAATGCTTGGGCATCCCCATGGTCACCGTTTAACATAGCTATTGAAAATGGCCCAGTAGAAATAGTGGATTTTCCCATCAAAAATGGTGATTTTCCATTGTTTTTTGTATGTTTACCAGAGGGTACGATTCAGATTGCTGACTCTGCCCTGAGTGGATCTTGATGGTTTCTGGCCCATGAATGGGCCCCATCAAAAACTCCTCTGAGGGCACCACGTAGTGGGTCGGGTTGGCGCGAAAGATCTCCTCTTGGACAAGGGCATCCTGGCTGAACGGATCATATTCTTACGTATAGCCATGCCGTACCTGGTCAGACACAGCAGTTGTTTGAACTTAATCCATGCCATGCAGCGCATCTGGAGCCAGCCAAGTGCCCACACTGGCTACAAAATTCGTCAGCCTGGCTGGGTCTACCAAGCCCTGGACAAGGGGTATCACCTCTAACCACCCAGGTGCACATCCCTAAAACCACTAAGGCATGACATGTGCTGTACAACGGACTGTCCATCGCTTCCTGGCTGTTCGCATCCCACGTTGTATTTGCTGGTGGTACCAGTACCGGTATACCCCCCAAAGTATCGCCATTCAACTATGGAAGATGATGATAAATTATCAGATTATAGGAAATTTACAGAAAAATAATCAGTTTATGAATTGATCTATACGTATATATATATATTATATATATTATATTATATATATATACCATCTGGTTATTTAACATAGCCATGGAAAATCACCATGCTATCAATAGGTAAACCATCTATAAATGGGCCATACGTAACCATGGCTATGTTAGTCATAACCAGAGGGTATATTGATCATACACTTTCAGATCATTGGGTGCCCCATTTTCAAACAAAGCTGTCCGGTGTCCACGGGGAACAGCGACGTCGGCACCTTTGGTGAATGAAGACCTCGTCGCCAGGTCGCAAATCAGCTGGTACCTGGTCTCAGCTCGAACAAAGAATGGGCAGTTGAATGACCAAATAGGCCCTAATAGGAAATCATTATTATAGTATATTATTATAGAATATTGTAGTGCATGACCACTAAAAAATATAGAAAAACATGAGCTATCAGATTTATCACTTTTTGGTGGGATGTTACTTTCCTATCGTTTTGGGGCTTGCTAGGCCATACTAATATCATCCAGGCTCTTCTGAAACTTTTTTACAAATGGCAAGTTCGGTATCCAGCAAACAGACTTTAGCCATGAGAGTCGAATGATGTCCCCATTAAAGTAATCATATTCTTGGGATTTCCCTATTGAAGTAACATAAAGTATCATAAAGTAACCAATGTTTGGGCAACCCCACAGCTGCCAAACCCATCCAAACCCCTAACCCGCCGGGCACCAAGTCGGCCACCTCCTTGGCAAAGTCTCTGGCATCCACGACTTGGAAAACCCCTGTCCGCTGAAGATGGCTCTTGTCATTTTGCCCCGGGAAGTGTATCAGCGAAATTCACATCGATATGTCGATATGGCTGGCTAAAGCGCTACCATCACTGTGGCGGGAATGGCCTGCCATGCGCACAGTACGAGGCGCCGAGAGGTGCGAAATCACCTGACGCGGTGCTCCGAATCTGCGTTGTGCAATGGAGTGGTGCGAAAATGTGAGGATTGCCTGCAAATCAGCTGAATACTGTCATACAAACATCACTGGGATACCATACTGCAAGGGGGTATCATCCGATCGCGTATCTAGCATCACAAATGCACTCGAGACATAAACGATGCAAGGTCACATTGTCGCATCCATTGTGTGAAGTAGAGAGCCTCGTCTCGCCAGATTCGAGCCGAACTTTTGGAGGATTCAGCCTGCAATGGGTCTTGGATGGTCAAAGCTGGAAGTAGACCTGGACTTTCTGCGCCAAAACAAAAACCTCTCACTGCACAAGCTGGAGGCCCAGGAAAATCTGTTGAAAGCAGGTCATTGCATGTAGTTCTTCAATGTCCTTGGCATCTTTGGCGTGCCCCGAAAAACACACGCAGAATGGAAAGATCTGTCGCCTCTGTGGATGAACCCCAAACACCTCCCAGCGCAGCAGAGACATTCTTCGACTGCGAAAGCTCCTGCAGGATTTGGTTTCCCATTGCTCAAGCACCGTGACGGACGGTGACGTTCAAGGAACATGGATTTGGGATACGGTACCTTCAACATTCATAGACAGCGCGGAACCTGCAGGCAACAAATAGCGTCCACTTTCCAGAAATAGCATTAGCATTAGTGTTTGATGGAGGAACGGAGACCGAGAGAAGTGGGCACAGTGAAAGGGCACAACTGACAACACGATACGACATGCTATGGGCAACACAACCATCAGCAACCCAAAGGGCCATGGGAGGGCGGCAGCACAACCGGAGAAGAGAAATCTCACAAAAGTGCTCGCTTGCGATCTAGGTTTCCGACCAACCAGAAAATTACGTTAAAGAAATTAAAAGGATTGAAAGCTTGGAAGATAGTCTGAATATGATATCAGAGTCACCCGTTGGTATCATCTGCAAGGCCTTGGGCATACCAAAAAGAAAGGGTGCGGAATTTGTTGGGGATTTTTTTTTCTTGTTTTGGGAATTTTATTTTTTTTTGGTCGTGGGCACGGTTTCCTCACTTTTTCCTTGTTTTCCATGACTTTTCCTTGGTTTTTCATTGGTTTTCCTTCATGTTTCCTCACGTTTTCCTCGTTTTCCAGTATTTTTCTTTGGTTTTTCATAATTTTCCTCACTTTGTCATCGTTTTCCATTACTTTTTCCTTTGTTTTTCATCATTTTCCTCACTTTTTCATCCTTTTCCATTACTTTTTCCTTGTTTTCCATGACTTTTCCTTCGTTTTTCATTGGTTTTCCTTCATTTTTCCTCACTTTTTCATCGTTTTCCATTACTTTTCCTTAGTTTTTCATAATTTTCCTCACTTTTTCATCGCTTTCCATTACTTCTCCTTGGTTTTTCATCATTTTCCTCACTTTTTCCTCGTTTTCCATTATTTTTTCTTAGTTGTTCATTGGTTTTCCTTCACTCCCCTCACTTTTCCTCGTTTTCCATTACTTTTTCTTTGGTTTTTCATAATTTTCCTAACATTTTCTTTCCTTCCTCAATAAGAAAACAGGAAGGGGGTATGGGGGAGAGGGCTGAGGAGGAGCAGTAGCGTCCACTCAGAATCAGCTAAAGCGTCTTCCCAGGCAACCTTATATACAGATATATAGGTATATAGTGGTATATAGATATATAGATATAAATATATATATAGAGATATATAGAGATATATATATATATAGGTATAGATATATAGATATATAGATATATAGATATATAGATATATAGATATATAGATATATAGTATATAGATATATGGATATATAGATATATAGATATATATACTGTATATAGATATAGATATATAGATATATGTATATATATATATAGATATAGATATATAGAGATATATAGAAATATAAAGAAATATCTAGAAATATCTAGAAATATATAGATATATAGATATATATATATATAAGGATATAGATATATAGATACAGCCATAGATGTAGATATAGATACGGATATAGATAGGTATAAATAGATATAGATAGATATAGATAGATATAGATAGATATAGATAGATGTAGGTATACATGCATGACTAATCATGACTATATGCATATGTAGATCAATGTATTTACAAGTGTGATCAATATATCTGCCGGGTTTGGTTTTAGGGTTGGTTTTAAGGTTTCTTTAGGGCTGGTTTAGAGTCTGTTTAGGGTTTGTTTAGGGTTGGATTAGGGGTTATTTAGGGATACAATATATACATACAAATAACTATACTTATGTGGACGCATATGCATGCACATGATTATTTACAGTTTATTTTGGGATACAACATGCACATACAAATAACTATTTTTTGTGGACGCATATGCATGCACATGATTATTTACAATTTATTGGGATGAAAGCTGTGTATATAAACAACCATATGTATATATATATATATATACAATATATATATATAATATATATATATAGTCTAACCAAACTAGTGTATTGAAATGTGTGCAAGTTTGAATTTAAATTAAAAAAAGCGGGAGGGGGGGATTGGGGGGGAGGGCTGAAGAGGGGCCCTAGCGTCTACTTCAAGATCAGCTAAGGCGTCTTCCCCAATGACAGCACTTGTTTTACTCAGCCTGTTGCCGGTCCGTGCTTGTCTACAGGGTTACTCTATATACCTCTTGAGCCTTGAAGGGCGCATATAAATGTGCTCAATACTCATGCATGTACCCATGTAGGTATTAGGTCGAAACAAAAACACAGGCACAAATTCAAAAGCAATGAGTAGAGCACTACGCCTTGCCGTACCCAATTGGTATTAAGAGTATCTTCCTGACTTCTCTACACAATGGCAAATAGCAAAAGAAACCGGAGTTACGCAGTGGCTTCGAATTGAAAAACACGTGAAAGCAGCGAATGTCCTAAGGACATGTCGAAAAAGAACAGCGGATTCGCTAATTTTTCCAGTAGCGACCAATGGTGCTTCGCGCACGGTCTTTCCACAGGCAAAATGCCTCGCTCTACCGGTGAAAGTTCGAATTGAAAAGTTCGGGTTCGCAAGATTCAGAAATTCAGGTCATACGAAAAACAATTGACCAAATCACGAAATAAACGGAGATAGCGGATCTCCAAAGTTGCTCATTCAAGCAAACAATGGACTGAAATCGAAGTTGGTAATTTTTGGAGTTCGCTCCATTCGGAATGGTCTGCTCGCAGGATGGTTCATGGAGATAAATGTGTACAGTATCTCTATTTACAAGAGTATCTATTTTACATTAAATTGAAGTTCAGACACTTGTGGCATTATCTCTATCTAAAAGAGTATATACCATCTGTGTGAAATACGTTGATGCACAGAAAAACTGTACACGGCCTCTCATGCTGTGTTATCTTCATTTAAAGAAGTGTACACTCACTCATAGCCAAAAGCTTGTTCTCCATGGTCTGGACGAAGAAGATGAGGATCCACCCCAACTTGCGTTGCCCTGATACGTTGATGCTTGATCTTCATATGCCTTTCTCTTTTTTCTCCTTCTGTCTTTCCTTTCTTGTATCTGCATACTGCTTCTTCTTGAAAGCCTGTTTGTAATGATGTCGTTCATTCCATGACATATCAGAAGGATCAAGATGAACAAGAATTGGATTGTGAGCATCACGATCATTTGGGGCAACCATGAAGATGTTGTGATCACCATGTAAGCAAGTTTCATTTACCTTGAAGTAAAATTCACCCACATAGTTCATGTGATCTTCATCATCAAAGTCTTCTGGGTGTTCCTCACACTTCAGACGTGAATGACCCCACTCAACAACTGTTAACATACAACAATCACCTTTACCATTTGTCTTGTTCATGAGCTCGTCGGTGTATGTTGCTGTTGTAATGCCATCCAAGTGCGTTGCAAGAAAATCCAAGTCACGATAACTGCAAGAAATGAAATGCTTGACCCTGATTGGAGGGCAAGATGAATCAAAATACTTGCGCATGGCTTGTGTTGCAACACCTACCATTCTGTTGATCCAGAATTGGATAAGGCTGTGTTGGTATGTAGGGACACCTGGAGATTTTGGTGTGCTGTAATAGCATGCCTTGTTTCCATCACCTGCGATGAAGTCAACTTGGTATCTGGCACACTCAAAAGCCATAACAGCTAAGCACTCACCAACAATCCCAGCAGAGTCTGATGCATACTTCTGTCCGACGTGATAAACGCACACACGTGTCATTCTCATCCTAGCTCTTGTCAAGTCAACAATCTCGTCTGTATCTCGATCCTTTGTCTTTCCCCAAGATACTTCAAAGATTGCCCATGAGACTTGTCGAACTCGTGTGTCGTTGTCATCTGTGTGATATCCAGCAATTTGCTTGATATAGCCATCCTTTCCAAGGCGAGCTGCCACCATCAAGTCATGATAGTCATTGAAGCAAGTTTTAAAGTCAACCTCGTTGAGTCTTTCTCTGTGAGGATACAATGAACCAGCCTCGCAATTCATGAAAAGATGTCCTCCAAAGTTCTTGATGACATTGATGAAGTAATTGTTGAACTGTGATTTGTTTTCATCAAATTTTTCATGATCCTCATCGATGGTGTAGTCAATGTGTGGAATGAATTGTTGAAATCTTTCTGGAACCGGGCATTTTTCAAATCTGTTTCTGCACCAGTTTCCCAAATTCCAAAACATTGCTGTTATCTGTGGAGAGGATCTGTATGGAAATTCGGCATCCTTGTATGTTGGGTCTGATAGGCCTCCACCTAAATATCTGTAAGCCAAGCTATGCAAGATCATACAGTAAGGCAAGACCTTGTGGTCCTCAACGTAATCTTGGAGTACCCTTGTGAGATTTCCAAAATCGTCATCAATCCTCTTTTCTGCTTCTTTTGAGGATCTTTCTGCCTTGTCTTGATGAAGAGGATGCATCCTTGGATCACTACAACCATATTCAATGCGCTGATTGAGTTCTTGTAATTCTAGTTGTGGATCCTGATCCTTGTGTCTGGCAATGTACTCAACCATCAACTGGTCATCTGTAAGATGGTACCAATAATCTTGATGTGGAGACATGGTCTTCCTGTACTTGACATGCCAAAACATGTGTCGATGCTTCGAAGACGCTGGATAACCTTTATTGTAAAATCCTGCCCATTCACCATGGTAACCATCTGAAAAACAATCCTTCAATTTTCGAAAAACTGAATCATCTTCGTTTCCAGTGATATCTTGACCATAGTAAAGTCGAACTGCAGGTTTCACTTCAGGAGCTGTCTCATCATCTTGAATGTCTGTCTTCTTCTCCCCTGATTCCTCCTTTTCTGAGGAGCGTTCAGGTGGAGCTGATTCCTCTTTCTCTGAAGAGCCTTCAGCTGGGACATGTGGCTCCTGTGTGTCTTTTTCTTCTTCTTTTTCTTCGTCAGCAATCTTCTCTTCTTCATCCTTTTCTTTCTCTTGTCCTTCTTCTGGTTTGACAAAACTTTCCTTGATCTTTCGTTGAACATTCTGATTGCACATACTGATCCATTTCAATGTACACTC